ACTCCGGGAGGATTCTGGGGCCCGGTGTGGGACCGGTGATGTGGATAACAGCTGGATGCCACCTGCAAGGCATGGGCTGCAGTACAGAGGAGGTATGGAGGTGCCAATAGTGCCCACTGGCATTGGGGCAGCCTCCTGCTTAATTAACAACTATTAATTAAATATCATCAAGGCATGGCGGGCGAGAAGGTGGGTGGTTTGGGTGGGCCAAAGGTAAATTGGCCCCGAGAAGGCCCCCTGTTACACTGCCATAGCCCTGGCCAGCACCCACAGCTTCCCAGCAGGTCTGCTCCCACTATTTCTGCAGCCACATGGGTACTGCTCGGTTCTGCCCACTGTCACCAGCTCCTCCTCTGCCAACTACCCCTGCTGCACCACTCTGAACAGCAGGTAGTGTGGGGAAGTGGCAGCAGCCACAGGGACATGTGCCAGGCAGCAGAAGCCCAGCCCAGCTAGGCACGGGGAAAAGTTGCAGCTAGGCGACTCCTGCTGCAGCGCATGGGGCTCTAGTTCCAACTCCTAGCCACTTCTCATGCACTCCACCCACCAAAGTGATGAGCAGCAATCCACAGGCAGCCAAGTGGGTGGAAGGCAGCTGAGTGGGAGCTGGAGCCCCATGCGCTGGGGCAGGAGACGCCCAGATGCAGCTTCCCCGACACCTGGCTGGACACATGATCATTGCCATACATCCCTATCATCACTGTTGCTTCTCTGCACTACCTATTGCCTGGAGCAGTGCAACAGGAGAAGGAGCCACTGGAGATGGGGGAAACCAAACAGTACCTGGAGAGCTGCAGGAGCAGCAGAACCGGCCCTACCAGGAAGCTGTGCATGATGGCAAGGGCCAGAGCCATTGGCAGGTGCAGGGTGGGAACATGGTGCAGACTACCCCAAGCAGAAGCAGGTGGGGCTCAGCCCCAAGCTGAATGCCACAGGGGCATCTGCGGGCTGCAGACAATCAATTGGCAGGTTGGATCTGGCCCACAGGCTATATTTTGTCCACCCTTGGACTAAAATCTAGAGTGATTAGGACCCCTAAGACTGTACTTCTGATACTTCTATGCAGGACGCTAAAAATCTTATAAAACTTAAAATAAAATTTCAACTAGGTTAAATGACAAATATTTTGGATTCCGAGTATATATACATTTTAATGGCATAATTTCATCTGGACAATAAATTGATGAAGCATGGTTTTACTACAGTTGTCAGTATAAATTACTTAAGGTTTTAATGATGCGCAGAACAAAGACCTTATTTGTAGTAAGAAATTAGAATCTACAGACAGGTTATGGTCAATGAATGAAAATCATGGATCATAACTGAAAGCTTGATGCAAGATACCCTTTTGTGCAGGAACACTGGCAGGTTTCTCTCACTGCTGATATACACAAAGACAACATTAAAAAAATTAAAGCACCTCACTACTAACTCACCTCTAAAAGGGTCAACAGGAGGGTGATGTTTTCTGACTGTTTAATGAAAACTTCTGTAAACCGACTTCCCAAATCATCAACTTGTTTTTGCGAGTTCTCTTCTGTAACATTCAAATACAACTTGTTACAAGGTAGGATTAATGTAGTTGTAGAACTTCCCTTGAGAGGTTATAGGAAGCAAACGCACACACACCCTGTGTAAGGTACAAAGACAATGAAGGCTCAAAAAAATCTATAAGTTGTGTTAAAACACCATGGCTCTGCAGTAGAGAATTAAGTATTTCTATTCCAGAAGTCTTAACTGTAAATGAGGAGCTAGATTACTTTAAAAAGCAGAAAATCAAGAATCTATCAAGTAAAGACCCAATTCAGCTTCCACTGAAGACAATATCGACCAATATTGAAAATAAAGATTCACAGGTTGAAATCATTTAAAATATATTTCATTAAATATTTTACCAGAAATTGTTTTGGTCACATCTGTTCAGACATACCAATTCTCACCTGCAGGACCACATGCTATCAAGTAAAGACCCTGGCTGGGGTCTTATAACCCCCCCCCACCCCCAGCGCTCCTTCCTGCCCATGGCAGGGGGTCGGACTAGATGATCTGTCTAGGTCCCTTCCGACTCATTGATTCTATGATTCTATGCTAAAATTGCTAGTAATTTATGTCTCAAGTAATAAAACGGCTTTCAGAGCAGAAAGCATCTTCCTTTTCACATGAAAGAAAAAAAAGCTCTAGTGACTCAGTCTGTATACAGTTGGAGTCAACAATTAAGAGGGTGTCACACATACTACTTGCAAAGGAAAAGCAGATTTATAGTTCACACTTAGACTTTTAGTTCACAGGTAAAAGCATATAACCTGGAAGTGCAAGCAGCTTCTTTGCTCTTGTGAAGGGATTGCTTTTTCATTTCCATGTTTAAAAACCCCAAAAGAATCAAAAAAGGGTAGCAATTTTCAAATGGATTTACTGCAAATCATTTAGATCTGGATTTATACAAATTCCTTAAGTGTAATTCACTGTCATCCTGTTACCTAGCCTTCAAAAAACTTACTCAAGACGCACGAGGAGCTACCTCTTATTTGGAATGTATGTCATGCATAGACTGTAAAAATATTAATGATGGAAGAAAAAGTATTCCAACAGTCTAAAAGGAAACATCAACATTATTTTTTGCATCATGCATATTTGCTTATATTGGACAACCCAAAAAGGTAGTCATTTACAGCAAATACTCAGGGTTAGATATTACATTTCTGGATAATTAAGGAATGTTCACTGGAGGAATTTGCCAAGTGATGTCAGTCTGTAGGCTGACATGCAGTTTGCCACCAGGGCCATGTCCTTTGTTACCCCAATGTGGTCTGCCAAGGATATACCCCAACCATGCCACACCTGACCACTGGACCTTACGTGCACAAAATAAATATGCCT